TCGAACGCTTGTTTAATCCAATCCCAACGCAATATTCTCTCCCATCCATTTTGTCCAAAGATCCAAAGAAACGTTCGAAAAATTCATCGTCGTATCAATGTCGAATCGATATCTTTTTTTTTTTATTTTCAACCTCGATGGCGCTTTTTACTCTGCCGCAAACATACACAGACTGAAACGGACGAGCAAATATGCAATATAAATTTCACCTCGGTCGATGGATCTAACGTGCGAATAATTCATCCGTCTCTGCTCCCTCCTCTCTTCTCTCTCTCTCTCCTCCCCCCCCATTATTATTCGAAAATTCGAACGTGGTGGAAACACACGGCAAAGATGGAATAGGAATCCAGATGAGCAAGAATAGAAAGGGACGGACGATGGCGTTGAACCGGAACGCTTAGGTGACTCACGGTGAAGAACAGGATGAAAAACGTCTGGCCTCGGGGTTTCAGAGGAAGTGACGTGGCTTCTGTCGTCTAAAACTGTTTCTCCTGTTGTCCCTTCGTGCTCATTGTCCTCACTCCTCCAGCCTATTCAAGCCTCCTTCCTTCCCAAGACAATGAGAGAGGGAGACGAGGAACCGTGACCTCTGATCCGTCGTGTTGTCCACTCCTCTCCGCGGAGAGGTCATACGCTATCGTGTCTACGTTTAATTTTCAGCGAACCGTTTATCCATCGCGTGATCCTGCGCCCACGGTTTTTCCCTCCCTCCATTTGGGTAATAAGAGGAAAACGCGTTCCTTTATCATTCTGCTCTTGGTTGGAGGTCACGAACGAGGAGAGAATTCATCGATGAGAGATAAAGAGAGTTGGGCTAAAATACGCTATATTCTTTCGACGAAGAGATATGTATATGAGACTCCTCTCTGAAGAATGTGTGGATGATGATCGTTTGGATTTGATGGTCTTGTCGAGTATGGAGCGAATTGTTTGCTCTTTCTCTTTTTTGCTTTTGGAGATTATTAGAGGTAATTGTGGGCGATGGAGAATTACTTATTGTATAAGTTCACAGTGAATTGTCAAGTGAAATTGAATGTTTGACGTATCGTTTCGTTATATCGAAAGATAAACGTCGATTAATTTCGTCGAAATAAATTTACGAAATTCAAATTTAACGATACACGTATTTAGCAATGGAGAAATTTCATTTAGGAGAAATTAATAATGAGGGACGAACGAAAGAAAGTTAATTTCTTCTGGATTCTGTAAATTTTTCATTTTCTCTTTTCTTTTTATTAAACACGTTTTATTTTTCATTTTTAGCAGAAAATGAAAAAAAAAAAAATAACGTTTCTCTCCTCTTTTGATCTTCACATGCAGATAATTGCCACTTTTATAAATTAATTACTTCCTGACCATTATTTCTCGTCTATCTCAAAGGATAATCATTCTCGCCGTCCACTAATTTAAAATAAAAATATAAATCAAAGAAATGGGGAACGCGAACTGTATACCTTTATATAAATTCATTACATTTATTCTCTTTATAAATAAAATACAAGGTAAATATTAAAGAAACTATTAAAGAAAAGACCTTTATAGGTCAAAATTCATAAGAACTTACGGTATTGAAAATTTATCCTTTGGAGAAAGAACGATTAAATAATTATTAAAGTGTATACTTGTTATCCAATCATATATTTTTTACTCGGTTCACCTGGTGAAACATGAGCTTACATGAGAATCGTGCTTGATTCGACGAAATTATTAACGTAGATTTGTAGATATAAGAATGATAGCATTTCACCTCAACCGATACATGAACGATTATAAACTTGGATTATTATGTTTCGCATTTACATCGTGTACCCTATTGCGCAAATTAATACGATTGGCCTATTTAAATAACTGTAATCTCGATAACGTATCGGTACGAGCTGATATTAAACGTTGCAACTGTAGATCGGTGCATCAGTTGCAAGGGAAGCACTTGTTATTAAGGAATGAGTGCAATTTTGTTGTAATTTTGCATTTAACCGATCTTGCTCTACGCAAGATTATGTTAACGAGTACAGTGGATGTTACTCTTATAATATCGGGAAGGAAATCCTTGCGATTATTTTATTCCTTGATTCGAACTGTTTTTAAAAAAGATTTCTAACTCGTTGCGTTATCTTAATTGCTGATACAAACAGGATTGGGGAGGGATTTGGAGGAATGGAAACATTTTATAAGCACGCAAAGATATTATTATGGAGAGAAAATTTTAATAAAAATCTTAGAGAAAAAAAAAAAAGAAGTTTGTTCGATCAAAACTGTTAGAATTCGAATGGGAGTATCGCTTGAAAGGAAACGTGACCCGGTAGACACTTTATCGTGGCGAAACAAAGGAATAGTTAAACATAGTGTCGATAGAATCGAAGGTATATAGCTCGGTTGAGAGAGAGAGAGAGAGAGAGGTATGTGTGTCGAAGGGTCACGTGAGCGACATCCCCTTGCCATGTGTCGTTTAAGTGTAACGAGTGTTTGTATTGTAAGGGGTTAGGCAAACATAGTTAGGTAACGTTGAATGGAACTTGAAGCACTTACGATAGGGGGTATGGTGCACACCATGAATCATAAATGTCCGTGTCCCTTCGAGTCACGTTCCTCTGTTGTGTAGATTCTGCGGGAGAGAGGAGAGAGCCAACTCTCCCTGTTTATGTGTGTATCGCAAATAGGAAAAGCACGGCGTGCAAACTTCATCGGCGATATTTTTACTTTTATTCGTCGACGTACGTAGAGAGATAATTTTAAACAAATCCTTTCTTTAAACTTTCTTTATAGTATTTCACTGGATGATAGAATTGTAGATTCGTGAATAATTCGTTCTCGTGAGATACGGAAGGTTTGATGGAAGAGGAGGAATTTTTGTCGCGTCGTGAAATTCTCTTTGGTAAATAATTGATTCTTTCGTTTTTCTCTTGGAATTGTATTCTCTCTCAACAGTGTTGGAATAGAGTGTTTTTTGGCTAGGGGAGATCTGTGATAAAAGTATCCCATCGAAATTTTTCAGTATCCCTCGTACGCGCAATTTATGATGGATTACATGATTTCAATTTTGACGCAGTATCACGTCATCCATAATGCATATATTACGACGCGAATCGATTCGATGCACTGTAACTCCATCCCTCGTTCATCAAATGATCGTATTAAACGTTTCGCAACGCCTCGCGAGATAGCCACGCTCCTGTATGCGAGCAACATTCAAATTGAAACGAGATCTCGAATCTTGGAATTGATTAATAATACGCAATTTATAATATTATAGGAATTCTTTTAATAAATATAAAATAATACAACCTCTGCAAATCTATAAATAATATAAACATTCGAATTTCGTCTCCTCTGTTCTCGTTTCATTCCCATATCTTCCATCCGTAAAAATAAGATCATCTCAAAGAAAGAAAAAAAAAAAACAGACACGACCAACTCCCTCTCAAGAAGAAAAAGAAAAAAAGGCGAATATAAAATATTAACCACGTCATTTTCTTACGTAATAAAACTTGCGGCCATCGTTCTCCGCTAATCCTACAACAACAACTCGATACGCGCAAAAACGTGTAGCAAGAGGAGAAGAGGAAGCGGTTTCGAGTTCTCATAATTCCCCCGTTTAAGGAGGGGTGGCCGAAATTTCATTCCCTCGAATCCTCGGGCGACGCGTCACTTCCGGCCACGAGTCCGTCTTAAGGATGGAGAATGGGGGGAGGGGACAAGGCACCGAAAGAAGATGGTTCCGGTGCGGTGCTCCGTGTGGGACTCTCCCACGCCGCGGATCCTCACCTTTCTTTCGCTCCCCCTTTATCTCGCCACGAGAATCTAACCGTGCTATCGACGCCACGGCGATAATTAGAAACCGGCCCAGACGTGTTGTTGTCTCGCAGGAAACGATGCACCGGGTCTTTCACCTTCTCGTGTCTTTCCGCGATCCCGTAATCCTTCTTTCGCTCCCTTCCTCCCCTAAATAGGCGATCGAGATGTATACGCGAATGAAAAATTCGTTGATATCGAATTGATATCGAAATTTGGATGTCTAATAACAAGGATGGAACGATATTTTTGCTCGTTTGGATCGAACAGTTTTGTGATACGAGAAGAGATTTTACATTTCTAAAAATTTGCAAGAAACATCGAAAATATCCTTCGAAGTGAAGCTGTAATTAATTATAGAAGAAATTTGAGCCAAGAACTATAAGCACGAGCCTGACTCAACGCATGACCGAACTTTTTGTTTATTGTGGTTTGAGAAATCGGGATAGGGCAAGGATTAAAGTTAAAGTATCGTCACAAATCCAGATTTTCAATATCCGAAAAACCACGTAAATCTGGTATTCTCTGGTATCCAAAAGAAGAAAGATTGGAAAAGTCTGCAGCGATCGGGTGGCGCAGATTTGTCGTGGAAACTTCTCTGGTCCGATCGTTTGGTCCGATGTCGCAATTCGCGGGGAACAATGGCGCACGCACCGCACACGTTGCACCGTATTCACACGAACGCTTCACCCCCTTGGATCCTCTCTCTCTCCCCGCCAAATACAACACGAATACCAAGGCTGTGCAAGGACAGGAGGAAAGAATAGACGGCGCGGTCCTCTAAACAATCGGTCGAGACCGCACAGAGAGGAGTCGTCCATCGGGTCCGCACAAAACCCCGCGCGTCGAGGACGACGCCATTTGCGGAGGATTAAAGCCGGGAGAGAAGATGGTGGACGTTGGTGAGGTTTATCACGCAAAAAAAAAGAAAAAAAGAAAAAATATTTCTCCCCATTGTCGTGTTAATAACGAACGATTCGAGCACGATCCCTCTTCTCTTTTTAAACTTTAACATTCTATTCGTGAACAGATTTTAAAATAAGATCCGAAGAACAATGGTGAAATTTGTGCTTGAATATGATTGAATTGTCCGAGGCTAATATTTATATTGTTCCAAACACTTATTTATTTATACATCAAGTCGTTATTCGTCGGTTTGCTTCGATCAATGCCTTCATTTTGTCTTCATCTTTACACTGACGTTAATTCACCTTCTCCATAGACTTCGCATAACTTTTTCTCGTCTGAACACCATTCTTACCTTTTATAAAAAAGTAAAATATGCCGAAAATGCTCCATTCGGTCTCGAACGAATTTTTCTTACAAACAAACCGTGAAATATGTAATCAAAATATATAATAACACCACGATTTAGAATGAAGTTGGCCGGATGAACGTTCGACACTCGTGTGAAGAAACGAAATTTTTCGTATCTCGAAGAAAATCATTAAAGCGAACTCTTCAAACTCGAAACAATTAATTACACACGCGTACAACAACTTTCCATTCGTCGAGCAATATATGCTACGATGCATGCAGGCACACGTAGTAGGAAAAATAGGGGGAGGGGCGAATTAATGAATTCCGTTCGCACGCGATAAAGCATTGGAACAGGTTGGATGGATTTCATTCATGGGAGGCCCGCGGGTGTTGGGAGGTCGAGGTCCGGCGTTGAGAGGGTTCGTTCCACTCGGCTGGCTGGTCGAAAAGAGGGAGGGAGAGATTCCAAAGTTTTCATGGACGTGATATATCTTTATCCTCCCGCTACGTAGACGATTTTTTATTTTCGTTTTTTTCCCCTCCCCCTTCTTCTTTTCAACCGTTTCTTTCCTACACTCGTTGCATACGTACATCGAGCAGGGACGTGTACGGGGTTGGTGAAGAGTAGGGGTATCTTTGGCGGCGCGCGAGCACTTCAGACTTTTCTCACGCTCCCTGCGTATAAATATTTACAGGCTCGAGCTGCGAGCGTTTCCGGGGAGCCCAGTCGAATCCACCTGCGAAACTTACACTCGCCTCGTGCCTTTCTTTCTTCTTTCTTCTTCTTCTTCTTCTTCTTTTGGGCAGGGTTTTTTAAGGTAGGAGGCTATGATGTTGCTATCTTGTTTGATCTCGACAGCTCGATCAGAAGGAATTGCGCGTATCGTTTGTTGGATTGATATTGTTTAGCAACTTATTTATTGTTATTATTAATAGTTTAACGCAATGTATTTCTCAGACAGGTTATTTCGAATTAAAAAAACACGTGACATCGTCTTTTTGAAATTACATCTATGATTAAAGAGTTACTCGAAAAAGAAAAGTAATGTTGCAATCTGCTACTAGTTTCCTCCATCAACGTGTATATTCATTCCATGTTTCGTGAGGCCAGGAAAAAGTTCGGAAAGTAGCCCCCAAAGCATCCTCGTCCACGGACCAACAACAAACCCCTCTCTTCATATTTATCGTTTCGACGTCGTCCGTCGTTTGGACGAGGCTCGGTGGCCAGCTTACACGCTCGGTTTCGAGTGGTCATCCGCGCTCTGTGTAACGTATGATCCTCTCAGGAAGCAGCCCCGAGGGCTGTCTTACCACCGACGCTCCTCCGCTAAGCTAACCCCTGGGGCCCTTAGTCGAGACTCCTGACCTTTACCCTTCCCTACCCCTCGAGGTCATCGACGTGGCGCATCCAGCCTCGAGAGTGGCTCGTTTTTTACGTCTGGACCGAGCAACCACCTGCCACGTCGTCCTTGAGTTTTTATCCAGCATTTCGCTGATACAATTTGGGGAGAAAAAAAGGTTGAAATTGAAATTGAGAAACGAAGGAACTGAGAGAATTTAGAGGGAGGTTTATTTCGAGCCCTGTTTCGTTGAGATATTCGGAAAAAGAGAGGAATTGAGGAAAATTTTTAAACGAAAATTGAAGTGGAAAAATTGAAGATTTCGTTAATTTCCTTCGAAGATATTTTAAGGGAGGAACGTGGAAGGTATTATCGAACGAAAGTTGTGTTTGGGTAAATGGGAATGGAAATTGAAAGGGGTGGAATTCAAGATGAAATGGAGGAGTGGAAAGTGAGGAATTAGAAAGAGTGAAAATTAAATATTTTTAAAAAATTTTTTACGAAATTTTAAATGGCAATCGAAGAGATTGCTTTTCGTTGAAAATGAGATATTGAAAAGCTTGAGGATTTTATTTTATATTAACGATATATTAACGAACAAAGTTCTTTTCTCGATGAACAATCGAAATCGTTTTGGACGTTGAAAATAAAACAAGACTTTTGCGTAGAAGAAAATTTACTAAATAATTAATTATTATTAAAAATAATAATTAAAGAAATTTTACGTAACGAAAAAAAATCTAAAATATATTCAAACTCGATTATTTTCGATGAAATTATTCCTGATATTATCAAAATTAATTATTAAAAGTCGAAAAATATATTTACAAAATTATCAAGAGTTTTTTCCTTCTTTATGTTCGTTATCCATCGTCAAAGAATTGCTTCTTTTAATTATCCATTTCATTTGAACGTAATTAACGTTCACGATATTATCATCATATCGCAATTGTAATGAGATTTTTTTCTTTTCTTATATCTTTCTCTTGATTAACATTGAATGGTTTCAGACATGGGCTCAACGGTATATTCAATAACATTCGCATTGACTGTTTCATTTAAACAGTGCAAAAGATTATTCCGTTACAGGCAAAAATTAGTTACCGTCGATTAATTAACCGATAATAATAATGCAGCCGCGTAACGTATACGTAATATAATTACGTTAGATTAATTACCGTTGTATAACAACATCACTGGGTTATTATCAGTTACCATTATCGATAATATTGCGTATTATTATTTCTCCACCAAGAAACATGCAAAAATTTCGATTGAATTTTTATTTTTATCGTTTAGAAGAAAGGGGAGTGGGGGAGAAAAAAATAGAAAATGATTAATTCAAAAATGTTCTGCGATATTATAAAAAATGCAAGATGCATTGCGCACGAAAGAATAAAATATTTTTTATCCCTGCTTTTCTCTTTCTCTCTCTCTCTC